ACGTAAGTGCCACGAACGCGAACATGTTGTCGAACTTAACTACAATTAGCTTAAGCGACGTGTGCCAGTTAATAGGAGATAGTTCAGGTACACTACAATATGAGATTTTTTTAAAAGCATTTGGGCAATATAGCAGACCCACCTCCTGAAATAAAGAGGATTATCATGCAAGCACGCGGTTAGTAAATCGAATGCAGCGTACCTACAAACGCTGCGCCGGTTCTGCCTACCTTCTCAGCAGGACCCGTCGTCGCTTCGGTGGTGGTTCCGAGTGGCCTCGCTCATGGCTCACTAGGCCTGCCTGCCTGACTCAGGCACTCGCGACCGCATGTGCTACAGCACCATGCGCCCGATGTAGATGGAGAACAACCCATCCGTGCCTGCCGCTTCCGCAATTGCCGCTTCTTCTCCGCATCTATGCGGGCTTTCTCCTGCACCCCGGCAACTGCCTTCGTGATCAGACCGCGCCATTCACGCCGATCAACCACCTTCGGTTTTCATGACCTGGAGTCAACATTAGAATGTGGTAGGCTTGGCTTGATCATGTCTTGCCAACGTAACTTCGGTTTTCACACGTGCCGCTTCCTTGCACTTAGTTGGCCAGACATCATCTGTTTCGGCATCCGCGTTGAATCTATGGGCCACACATGGCCCAGCCACTTCAAGTGCAGTCCACTACATGCATTCCACTTCGGCGCAACACTTCCGTGTCCGCAACTCTGTTCCACCAACCAATGCACAGAATCCGTTACAAACACTGTTGTTAGGACCGCTCGAGATATCCACATCCCGCCGGTACATCGTCCGCGTTGCGCTGCCGTATAGAAGAACGGAACCATGGATTTGTACACCATCAGTTTCGTGCCAACGGTAAGCTGATAGTTGTTTCACACTCGGTACTCTAACTTTCCTAGTGTCGCCACTGCCTTCGATACGCAGATACGAAGCTCACTTTAGCTGTTGATCAGTCGATATCACACTCCCGAGGTAGCAGAAACGGGAGGTGGTTTCCAATACTTCAGCACTAATGCTGATTCGCGGCAATATTGAAGATTGCACCTCCGGTGAAGGCTGAAAGAGACAGACAGTTTTGCTTGTGTTGATGGTGAGCTCGAATTTGGCCGCTATCGAAGCCAGAGCACTAGTCATGTGCTGCAACTCATCCGCGCTGTGTGAAAACAACGCACAGTCGTCAGCAAACAGCAACATACGGATAGTTGTCTCACAGACTAAGGTCCCCGCACCGAAACGACGGATGTTCAGCAACCCACCATCAATACGGTGCTCCACACGAACACCGTAAGCACAAGCTGCATCAAAAGCACAGGACAACATTGCATGAGGATATATATTAAACAGGACAGGAGCTAAGACACAGCCTTGCTTCACACCAGAGACAACTGCAAAGTCATCCGAGGTCTCTCCACTCAGCTGCACCCTCGCTCGCATACCACTGTGCAGACATTCAATTAAATTTACAAACTTGCTCGGACAACCAAACTTACCCAACACCAGCCACAATGCCTCGCGGTTCACCGTATCAAATGCCTTGGTGAAGTCAGCAAAAAGCGAATACAACGGCACGTGTTGTTCCCTACACTTCTCCTGCAACTGACGAGCCACAAACACCATATCTATAGTGCTGTGACCCGAACAGAATCCACATTGCTCTACCGACAACTTCGGCTTCACAACCTGACTGACGAGGCGGTTGAGCAGGATTCGGGCAATCACCTTGCCCACACAACTCAGCAAGTTGATGTCACGATAATTCGTGCAACATTGCTTGCTCTCTTTGCCCTTGTACAGTGGTAGCACAAGGGCATCCTTCAGCTCAGGAGGCACCTCCTCCTCAATCCATACGCGTTGCACCAAGTGGTGCAGCGCAGTCACCAACGCGGGTCCGCCATGTTTCAATACTTCAGGCGAGATCCCGTCGGCTCCGGCACACTTGCCGTTTTGCAGCTGAGTAAGTGCTCTCTGCGTCTCATCCAGTGTCGGCGTGTCCGCCAGACTCGCCTTCACATCGTGCTGCTTGAGGCCATTCAAAGTAGGCCAGTCGATCTCTGAACGGTTGCTCAAGAGACAGTCAGTGTTTCCGCCAGATCCGTATTATATCTGCAGTCTGTGTGCAGGTAGCACCTGAACTACCATATTTCAGCGTCCTCAGAGGCTCCAGCCTCAGTCCATACACCAACTTCGAGATGTCAAACAATTTCTTGTGTTGGTGGCGTTCGGCGTAGCATTCCATCAGCCTCGCCTTCTCCGTTCAGCATGCATTTTTACTGCGACGGAACCCTCCGCTTAGTCCTCGTCGAATTCTCCCAAACTTACTCTTATTCCCTAAGTCACTAGGGTCTAACACATGTGCAGAAAATGCTGCATTCTTCTCACACACCAATGCGCCAATCGTCCCATTGTTTTCATCAAACCAATCAGGCCGCTTACAGTTTGCGCGTTTGATGGTCTCCTCGGCAGCAGCTGTCACCTGGTCTCGAATATGGTGCCACAGGTCGCCCACTGTGGCTATGCATTTCACATCACACAGTCGTGCAGCCATCGTCTTCTCCAGCTCAATGCGTTTCTCCACAGTACCGAGGGGAGAACGTTAAATTTACGCCAATTCACGGCGGGAGTGTAATACATAGATTTACGAAAATATATGTACAGTTTGGTGCGCACCACTCAGTGATCTGTGTCACTCGCAGCTCCACGCAGTACACGCGCCATGCGCACTTCACGCATATCACGCTGACGTACGATGACATAGTCGAGCAGGTGAATATGACCACTCCGTGGGTGCGTCCAAGTTGCTATATCACTCGCATTCAGTGCAAATCGAGTGTTCGTGATCGTCAGGCCGTGAGTGGCACACAGTGAGAGCGGCCTGTCACCGTTCGCATTCGCTGAACCAATGCCATGTGGACCGATAATGTGTGTCCGCACCGATGCACCACGCCCAACGCGCGCGTTGAAACCACCCAGCGGAAATAGTCAGTCGCTCCTCGGCACTAAGTGTAGCATTGATCACGCCTGTCATCAAGATAACACATGGTCGGACCGTACGTGCTTATGAAAGTAGCAAACTTCCCTTTTCCGAGTGGTAGGCGAACAGTCATCAGTCGCGTGTTGATGCCTGTTTGTTCACCATCCAGGTGGTCATTTAGGCAAGCGGATGTTGTAAATCCGACCCCATCATCACGTGGTGCTGTGGTGGCGTTCCCCACCCAGTAGGACGTATAGCCAGCACCAGCTTCATGTAACTTACTCAGCGGGCCGGATTTAACTGATCGCCGCAATATCAATGTTGTAGCGCGCCAGTTCCATCTCGACCAGTGCAGTGCGTCACTCGGGGGCGCTTATTCGAGTTCCGTTCCAGTAGTGTGCGCACGTTCCAGCAACCGATGCTGAGTGCTCTGCGCGCAGTGATACGATTGCATTGGTGAGCACTTATGCACGAGGTGGTCGTTGTGCTTCAGAAGTTTGCTTGAGGGACTCCACCCGGAGCCTTTGGCTCACTAGTCTGACCCACAATGTAGTGGGTAGTTTGAGGTTTGCTTGAGGAACTGCGCCCGGAGCCTTTGGCTCAATAGCCTAATTCACAAGACAGTGTGGAGCAGATCCAGCTCGGGAATGTGATTCCAGCGACTGCTTTGGATCTGCTTGAGGTCTGTCAGAAGCAGCCTTTGAAGATTTGGAACAATTCAAGTATGTTTTGCGACCGCACTCTGGTACCCACCTGTGACCACGCCCTGGCGCTAGTGGGTTTTAGCGGGTTTGCAGCAGTTTGACCAGGTGCTGCCTGGCTTGAGGCGGGCAGTAGCAGACCATTGAGCACCCGGAGGTGCCCTCCCACCTTCAGAGACACTGTGGCGCTCGTGCTCGACGCCAACCGTGCGGTTAGTTTATAACCCATAAACCTGTTATCTTCCATGGCCAGGTTTTACAGGAAGAGGGCCATCGATCACTTCCTAACCTCCGAGGTGGATGGACTGGGATACTGGCATTGCGAATCAGGTCCTCAGCCAATGCTTTCGATTAAGTGTACGCCAGAAAGTCAATGAGTCTAGCACATGGTCAGGTCGCTGACTCATGCGGGTTGGTGACTTGGATCTTAGCAATGAGAGGGACCTAACCCAACTCCCACCCAGCGGTCGTCACGAGGAGGTGTCCAGGACATGAGCCCGTGGCACAACAGTAGCAGCAGTGGGTAGACCATCTGTCAGGATCTAGGCACTGCCTCAGCGTACCATAGGCTCTCCCGCCACTAACACATATGCGCGTGACCTAGAGGTAACGAGCTTGTCCCGTAATCTTGCGGCGCGTAGTGGTGGGCGTCCGCGCGGTATATTTAGCCCGCTTGCGGCGTGGTGGTCGCACTGCAGCGGAGTGCCATTACGGCGTACAGCTGAAACATTATTTATTCATTATCAACACGTGCTTACATATACACATACACACAACTCCAGCACGCTACTAGTTAACTTGCTATGTTTTTGTATACTTGCTGGCCATACCTGTTTGTATTATCATTATCATGCCTTCGCAAGCGTTTCTCACACTGCCGGGAATAAAAAATTTATTTATATCTTTATATCTTACTTAGCTTGTAAGTCATGACAGTTTCGATGAGAGTCCGAGTAACTTGGTCCATCCCACTTTGGTGCACGGATCCTACTTGGGCAGCCGAGCTGAAATTGATCGACCGCTTCCCGATGTTGCCATACTAAAGCTAGTTTTCACATTTATTTTCTGGCTGCTACCCAACTATTGGACACTTAGGCTGCTCATATCTCAGTTCAGCGATGTGTCAGAAGTAGGTTAAACTTTGATAGAACTTTTTTGGACAGCATTATCTGGCAACACTAAATCACCATTCTGTTGGGTTTTGCTTGTCAGTTTTGTGTGTGCCTTCTAAACGCTTTTACTCTCTGCCTACTTACGCAGCGATCGTTTTTGATTTTATATTCACCGCATATTCCCCGGTATTCTTTAACTTTCTCCCTTTGTTTATGTTGCACATGTCGCATCGTGTTTCCATTCACCCTCGATTGCCTGTTGATACGCATATTATCTATTCTTTTAGTGCATAACGTGCTATCTGCCTTTATTTAACTGTTTCATATGCGATGGCTGTTTTCGGTATTGCATGTTTACATGATTTCTCAGGTTTGAGTGATTTCCATAAAGACTTATTTTCCGCGGTTCTCTGGAAATGCTGAAATTTCGTGGAATTTATACATTGCGCGGAATCTCAGAAAAATTTAAACTCCATACTTAAAGCTACTTTGATTGCGCTTTTGCTGAAATCAATACATTCAACAGGTTCTAACCTTTGCAAATGTCATCTCAGAAAATGAAACGGCATTTTGGAGGCAATACTGTCCTGGAGAAAGTGTATGGGTTTCCTGGGGAATACTACCTCGATAACGCAACTATGAAATTACTGTTTTGTTCTTCGTGTGAAGTGGCTGTGGATCCATCTCGAAAATCAACCTCGGTTGATCATATTCGCAGCCAGAAGCATCTTCAGAGGAAAGCTCACAAGGAGGAGTAAGTAGCGAAACTTGTCGCCAACGGGCAATCAGCTCCGAAAAAAGTAGACACAGAAGCATAGTTAGTCCCGTTGCCGTTTCAAATGCTGCCCACAGTGGTATCTGACTTTCTACTTGCTATGACATCTGCGAATATTCCTCTAGAGAAGGCCAACAACCTCCAGTTGAGGGGATTTCTTCATAGACACGTTCGAAATGGTGGAAACATTGCCGGATCTAACGCGCTACGTCTGAAAATTTCCAAGCTATACTGTAAACACGAGCAGATCTTGTAAGGGATGTTCCGTGATACCTTTATCTGCGTCATGATAGACGAAACAACCGGTGCTTGTTGGAAGATGAAACTAAACATCCAACAAGGTCAGTGCATGCATACCTCATGGGCAAGCTCAACTTGGAGATAATCCTGTCACCGTCGGAGGAACCATCCTGCACAGTTCCTCATTGATGTGTATCGACTCCAGTCGTGTGACTGCATTCGTGTCCGATGGCGCAAGATATATGGCAGCATGCTACCGAGATGTCATTGAGTCGGTTTGTGGGAATGTAGTTCACATTAGATGTGCTGCCCGTTGCATCAGTTTGATTGGAGACACCCTTCGCGAATTCTCTCTGGAACTTTGTGGATTCTTTGGGAACATGAAAAGTGCTTCAAAGCTGAATTTAAGGAGCACGCTGATGAGTCTAAACCAAGACGAAACCGCGGTCGTGGTGTGCCAGGGTTGGGAAGAGCAACACCCAAATATATCCAACATGAAAAGTGCTTTTCATCTTTCGGGAAGAAACAGATGTGTCTATTTTGAGTATCTAACTCCGGAGAACGTACATAACCCAACCGGACCACCTACACAGGTCATCACCCGCTGGAACTTCTGGCTAGCAACTGTCACACATCACAGCAAGTTTTTCCATCACTACCTAGCCATGCTGCAAGCTTTACAACATGAGTTTGTAGACTCAGCTGGTGTTTGTGAACTTGTGGCTCTTCTAACCACTGAAAGAGCTAAAAGCCTAGGGGTTGCTGACACCAGAGGCTGACTGGGGGTTTCTGAAAGCTGATAGATTGCTCGACCCTAATAAGGTCGTCACCTTACCCAGTGATCCATGCAGCTATGCCGGCATTTCATGCGTGCTTGGCTTCCCAGTGCTGCCAACCGAATGGCTAAATTATCGGAAAGTGGCTGAAGAACTGCATGTAGCAAATGTGAAGACGCACTGGTGCAGAATGAATGAAAAAACTTCATAGGTGGCTGACATTGCTGGCCGTTATTTATGCGTTCCTGTGAATGTAGTAACCGCCGAGCGAAGCTTGAGTGTCTACGAATATCTGTGACAAGTGTCATAAGCTTTTCGACGATAGCAAGAAGCACTGTTAGCCTTTATTTTAATTTCTTTGTTTTGAATTATTTTTGACACGTATATAGTAAATGAATTTGCCCGGATTTCTGTTTACTTTAGTCTTCCCTCGGATAGCACGGAAGTGTTTTACTACTACAGCAAACGAGTATCTTTAATTAATCTCCTTGCGAGTTTGCTTTTTGATATCTGTTCTGTTTTCCTGTTCTCTGCATTTCCGCTTTCGTGAGCACTCCATTGCGATTGTTGTCAATTAGTGTTCTAGAAGTTGTTTCACTTTCTTCACCACACTATGTGACCTTGTTTTCCACGTTCTCGTTCATGGTTTCTATTATCCACTTATTTGGGTAAACTTTTCATTTGCTTTATTGTTCACTGCGGTGGTCTACCTGTCTGGTCTGAGCAGCTTCCGTTTGGCATTTGTTACTCTTCGATGGTGTCTTCTTTTAGACATTCATGTGTTCGTGGTCGCATTTTCATCTGTTTCTGTTGTGAAGTCGTGACTACTCTCAGCAGGGGTTTTTCACTCCCAGACAAAACTTCTCTTGGCAGTTGGGTTATTATCAACTAATCGTAAGAAACTGTTTCCTACTGACTGGGACATGACAAGATTCTCTCACAATCCGTGTTTGCACCCCAATTGCTACCTTGCAGCCCTGTTCACATGTCTAACAGTTGTTAAGGAATTGCGTTGATGATTTTTTCCTACGCATCTCTCACACTGACTTCCACGCTTCCATCAGCATTGAAAGCCGTTTTTCTCCCACAGTTTTTGTGAACTCGAAGGTACGCTTAGGTTGTCTATGGTACCATGTTTATGGCCTGGTGTTCGTGTTTCCCAACTCACAGTGTAGTGTTCCATGTAGTTTTCACGATTCACATCATCCAAACACGGATGTTTGCGTGGCCCTTGTTTCGTTGAAGTGCTTTCAATTCTTTAACTCTTCCAAATCTAACTGCTTCTGTTAACTGGAGTGTCGATTAAATAATCAACTTCCTTGTTTTTTTATTGTTTTCACATAGGTGCGGTAAGTGTCACCGCTATCTCAAGTTAATCGATAGTCGACCACAGCGCCTACATTGTCCAACTTGCAACGAAACGTATGCAGTCCCACAGAACGGTGCAATCCGACAGTACAAGGAGGTCAGATGCCCTTTGGACGATTTCGAACTGTTGTTTTGGACTCAAGGTTCCAAGGGGAGGGTGAGTGTGCTTCGTCTAGCATTTATGTATGGTTATCCAAAACGATTCCACGAATTTACTTCATATCCTTACGCACTGCACGTCTACCCGCACAAATTACTTCTCAATCGGTATACTCTGTGTCTATATTGAAATTGTTTCAAATTGTATCCATTAATGGTTTTCCAGCCTCTTAGAATTCACCCGATGTTCTCTATCGTCAGGCAAATTCGTACAGGATGAGCTTTCCAGCATATATCAAAGCAGTTGTTCAGGGGTCTACTTTTCGGCTCGAGGTCTACTTTTGACTTTTATACTTACGTCGCATTCGGTCGTTTTTATACGAACATGCTACATCATTTTAGGCTTCTATCCTTGTAAGGTGAACCTTGTTCTTATTGCGAATTATCTTGTTCACTAGGTCCAGCAAGAGAGCTGCATTCCATATTAATTCGCATAGAATTCATACTTGTGGGAGGATTTTCAAATGTGTTAGTTTACGCTTTCGTCATCTCAACAAAAATTGCTTTCCATCTACTAACCATACACAACTACTCATCGGTATCGATTCCGTTGACCACCTAAACTGTTCCCAATAAATTCCATCTAAATGTGCTACTGTATTTTTCGAATTTTCCTTCCTTTGAACACACTGGAAATGTGTTTCATTGTCATTTCCCTAGGTTGTTGGAACGATCGGGTAGTTGAATTGCTTTTTTGCTTCTTTTCTTTCTACCGTACCAATTAGCAACCTTTTCCTCACAGCTCTGTTATAGCAGAATCGACTTCGATGATGATTGGCTTTTATCCAGATACATCAGTTCTCGCCACTCCATATTCAATTGACTGGGCATAAACAGCAGGCAATTTTTCCTCAACCAACTCATTAAAAGTGACTTTTCCTGACTGCATTTTATCGTCCTTCAGTCTTCCTCGATTTGCGTGTTGGCACTCCCGGTGTACAGCGAGCATCTCGCAACTGCCATCGTTTAATTCTACATGAGTTGTGTGTATGCCATTATAACGTGGTTTCTAGCACGCTTAAGACAACCCCGAATCGCGTTGTACTAGCCGGTGGCCGATTGGTTCAGGTTTTTGGCTTACAATCCACCGATCGCTGGTTCGAGCCTGCGTATTTGCGGACCACCTCGCAGCATCCAGCGACTGGTGATGGTCAGTGACAGTGAGGCGCCTTTGCGACATAACGGCATGCAACTCATGTTTTCTTATTCACCCTTTTCTCCACGTCATGTTGTCCTTTTACCCATTTGAATATCTTTTCCATCTTCCACCTGATCTCCAACTGACATTCGATTGGCCGTCTGTTATCCAGGCATTTGGACGGAACTTTCCAAAATCTCCATTCCATCCATTTTCTTTTTTTCTTTCTTATTGAACGGAATGTTGAATCCTTGACGCATTCTAATCAAATTCAAAGTTATCCCCACTACCTTGTGAACAACACTTTTGGTTTTGAGGCTACAAGTGAAAATCTGCGAATAAACCCATCTTCTGCAATTGGAAACATGTCTCCGGTATCCTCAGAGGCTGTACCATTTGGATTATCCTTGAAACTAAACGAAGAGCTGGGATTTCGTAGGGGCTTGACCCAAAAGTGCCTACTGCTTGTTTCCAATCGCGACGAGACTGGACCTTTACGCCGTGCGATGGTTTATGTACCTCAGTGATCCATTGAGCTATGCTCGGTGGTGCTTTTTGTACCTTCAGCGCCACTCATACCAGATTGGTCAATGGTTAGAGGCCAGACAAACTCAGTCTCTTGGTCCTTGTTCCATGAATCTGACTTCCTGTACCCCAGTGCCAAAACCCCGCTACCTTGCGATAAGATTTTTGAACCAAAGGCTTTGATTGAGAATCCTAATCGTTCTCATGTCTGAGCCCGGGCACCCTGATAGTATCCTGCTCAGGTAAAGCAACACCATGACATTTTCTTCTAACAATCTCTTGATGTTCTGGTCATCGCAGAGAATAGTCAACGGCCTCCTATCTGCTGCATCGAGCAGTGTGCGTAGGGGTTTGGATGCTACTGCTCAGGTCTTCCCGTTTTCTTATCCCCCGCTTGCGCTTTTTCATCGTTATCGCTCTGTTCCGACTTCACTCTTACCACCCTGTGTCCAATCCCCCAATTCTATGCCTTCTCCCATCTTGCTTCAATAATCGCTTGTCTTCGAGTTTCAGTTCACTCACAATCACATGGCGTCGTTCCAGTCCGGTCGACAAGTCCATGTACAACCCGGCGGACAACGTGAGTTCATTTGTTTCCCTTGGGAGTCCTCGATGCTCGCTAAGACTGGCGTGCTACAACGTGCCCAATTTGCTACAGATTGGTCAACAGACAGCACTTGCCCTAATACTAAAGACCCTATCGATCAATATTTGCTGTTTATCGTAAACCCGCCTGCAAGATTCAAGCTCCGTACTAACCCCACATACGACATTGTCGGTGCATTTTCATTGCGCCTGTCTGGAAATGACGCAGCTTCAAGTGCCGGTCAACCTGTCGTCGGCATTGTTTTGAGTACCCGGGCTATAGCTGCCTTGATCGATTGGATCCCAGTCAACAGTCGGATGTGCACCGTTAGATTGTGTGCATCGTTCCAGGCTCTGAAGGCATGCGGGAGCAAGTGGTGCCTCTTTGTCATTGCGACCTGCGCGCCCACAACCTGTATCACTGATTCTGTGAAAGATGGTTTCTATCACCAATTTAACCACCTCCTTCGTTACAGGAAAGTTACGGATACTGTGATGCTTGCTGGCGATCTAAACGTCCAAGTCGGAGAATCATCCTCTGATGCGCGTCATCACCGTAATGACAACGATGTGAGGTTGCTTCACCTGTATGAAGCTGCTCGTCTCTTTCACGTAAGCAATAACTTTCGACAGCACTTGCGGAAGAGTGACTTGGCAATCACCAATCTCGGACCGGCTATGGGCGCAACTCAATCGCATTGCGATCAGTTACCGCTAGATAAACTACGTCTAAAACGGCCGCTAGATTTGGAGCCCGAGCGTGGACTCTGATCACACTCCAGTTTGTGCCGACCTTAAAGCGCATTTCGGCGGATGTCCGCAACGTCGCTGTGTGCGCATAGACGCCAGCCAGATGTTCTGAATGCGTATCAAAGTACGTTGGCATCCGGGCTGAGTAAGCGCCCACTAGACACCGTTGCAGATCACTAATTGCTTATTCGTCAAACGTTACTGTCATCAGGCTTGTCTTCAAGTGATAAATCAAATCGCCAACCATGACATTGGGTCTCTACACAGTCTCTGAAACTTCTGAATGCTCGCCGATGTATTCCAACTGGAAGCGAACATCGCAAAAATCTCAGGGCAACACTGCGTGCTAGCCAAAAAAGAGGCCACGGAGCCTGGTGGTCTCATCGTGCATCGGAAATGCAAACAGCCGCTGCCGTTGGTAATCATCGTAACTTACTCTGTCTGATACGGGAAACAGGCAGCAGGAGACCTGGTATTAGCGAGACACTACGCGACGAGATTGGACAGCCGATCCACAGCTTGTCAAAACGCTTGGACCCTTGGGTCAAAAGCTTTGCAAGGCAGTTTGACCAATCTGTTATCACTTTCTTTTTTCGGGAATTGAATGCCCTCGCTGAGCCGTCTCCTTGGATCCGCCCTCACCCACTTAAGTCGAACGTGAGATCAGACTGTGGAAATTGCATAATGTCGCATGGGCAGATAGACTTCTCCGAATTCGGGGGACCTGCTCTTGTTAATGATTTGCACGAGTTACTGGTAACATTTCGGGACAGGGAACTGTCCCGACGTTATTGCTTGCGTCAACCAGCATTGATGCAATTCAACAACCATACTATTCACATATTCGACAATTCCTGTAGGCTCTCATTTAATCAAATGTAAGCCAGAGTTCTTAAGTGGATTTCAGTCGTTCATCGCTAGAAACGTCTACGTTGTTCCTGACACATCTGCGTCAGAGCTAAAGCTTTTTCAATGTAGATTGTTCTATTTGCATTACTGCTGATGAATTTTAATAGAAGGGATACAACATTCCTGAGGGCACTTGTATTGGTAGATATGGTGACTTTATCACCCAGACAAAACTAGATAGACGTTTTTTCGCACAAACAAACTGCAGTTTTCCACACAATAATATGCTTCCTTTAACAGCCCAGACCGCTTAGTCATTAGATTTTGTCCTGTCATACACCCTAGAGCCGAATTTGTCACACTGACTAGACATCCTTTAAAATCTATCAAACGCGAATCTGTTCTGTTAAAATTATCACAAGGCTCCAGTCCAGTCAACATTATGCATTATGCACCCATGAAGAGTGAATATTCAGCTACAACACACACGCTAAGGGCACAAATAAAATCAAATAGAAATATGACAAATGTATCTGGTCTGCCACCAACTTAACATTGTGACAGAGGCGATGTCATCGATTCAGTCTGGCAATAAGGTCTTGTTTGACTACATTTTGATCCCTCAGAAAACGTGACAAATAGGGAACAACTGACGTACCGTAAGCCCATGTGCGGGCATAAATGGCTTTGTACGTTTGTCTGGTCGAAGACGTTTAGATACATTCCGAGCATGCACAATGGCCTCAGTGAGTATCTTGGACGCCAGCTTTTCGCAGGAGCGAACATGATTGGACACAATGATGTGAATAAACACTAGCATAGAAATTCCGCTGCATCGAACAAGAGGCTTCAACGACCTGCTGATCGCTTTGAATTACCCGTCTAAGAGTCCATGAAACATCCCAGGTGAGCAATACGTCCAGTGCAATATTACGCAAACGGTGACAAACCGCAAAATCAAGTAACGAGACACGGAAGAAGACCTAAGTCGAGAGATGTTGCATGTTAGTCTCCTGATATTAGTGCATGTTTCATTCATGTGATGTGACCATGTGAGATCCTGACTTAGTGTAACGCCGAGATATTTCACTAATGTACCGGTGTTTAGACTGACCCTGTCATTACTAAGATGTGGGGTGTGCGTCAGAAGC